CTATTCTATTCTATTCTATTCTATTCTATTCTATTCTATTCTATTCTATTCTATTCTTTCTTATTCTGTTCTGTTCTGTTCTGTTCTATTCTAATTCTAATTCTAATTCTTTCTAAGAATTCTAATTCTATTCACATTACTGCTACGGAGTTTATGCATTCCTCAACATTGGCAGCTCTATCGTCTCCTACATTCATCCATAGAATGTAGCCTATCCTCTTTATTTCTATCGAGAAATAGCCCACCTCGTCCCTTAGGCTCTTATTCAGGTCACTCCTCCTTCCAGGACCTCCCAACTTCACTCAGCTCCAACAGAAATCCACATTCCGCTTCCTCAGCAAATTATCCTCCCTTCTATATACTCTGTGCTCCGTTGTTTCCCCCTCGCCCCACACCTCACAGTGGTATCTTCTCTGCAGGAATTGAGTTGTAGCAGTTTTGGAGCTGAGACCTTCTTACGTCAACATGGAAAACACCACACATTTGAAACAGCACCCCGATAAGTCCCTGGGACAACCGCACCGATTCTGGGACCAGTTTCCAGATCCGATAAAAGTTTTGCTACCTCTCCTCCACTCTTGGAGACCGACGGCATCCCTTACGGGATGCTCTCAACCAGCTCAATCCACAACCACCGTGTCCCCATGCCATGCAGCCTTTCCCCCATGCCTAGTTTGCTACTTACAATTGCCACATACGCGGCCTTCGTGCCAGTCCGGAACCGGGTCGGCCCAGCAGCTCCTGCCCCTGGCTACGTATTCGCTTCCCGTCTTGGCAAAACTGCCCATCTGGGGACCATAGTAAATGCCCTGGGCACCTGGTCCGCTGAATCCCCCAACATGGGAGTAGCCGGACAGGAGGCTGTGGTTTGGAGGAGCCACCGGTCTGCTGAGGATGTCGCTGATGCCGTGCGGTGTGCCAGACGCCAACTGGGCGCTGAGCCCAGGGGGACCGAGCTTGTAGAAGGAGTTTTGCACAGAATACTGGCACATGGGGGCTTTCACTTCCGGGAATGGGGACAGAGGAGGGCCGTTCAGGAGAAATGTCCCCTGCAGGTTGGAGTCCATAGCTCGACCGCTGGCTGGCAAAGAAGGCGCCTGCTACCGAGGACAGCCACTTCTACGCTTCCCAAGGCGTTTGGCTCGTGGGCAATGCCATCCCTGGGCCCTAGGAATGTGCACCTGATGCTCTTTGCGGAAAGGTCTTTTGCTGGGATCCAGACAGGAGAGACCCTGGAACTGAACTGCTGACCGAGGCAACAGGGACCCGAGTCCATGAGTTTCCTGCAAATCCCGAAACCAAGACTGGCTGACTGGCCACCACACTGAACTTCAGAGAAAGCTTCCTTTTCTCTGATGAAAGGCTGAGCTGATTAGAATACTGGCCCTCCGATAGGTTGAGGTCTTGGCTTTCCCCATTTCTCATTGGGCTTCGTTTGAGTGCGGGACCTGGATTGGCTGCTCTGAGATCAATTGCCCTTTGAGAGCTCCACGGTCAACACCAGAACCTTAACACATGGCTAATAATGCTGGCAGGAGGGAGGAGGAAAGGATAGAGGAGGCTGCCTTCTGCTTTGTGGGAGGTATGATGGAAGGAGTGAGAGAGTAGAGAGGCAGAGAAAGAGAGGGGGGGAAGAAAAGGAAGGAAGGAAGGAAGGAAGGAAGGAAGGAAGGAAGGAAGGAAGGAAGGAAGGAAGGAAGGAAGGAAGGAAGGAA